CTCCTCTCCTCTCTTCACCTGCCGCATCCAACAACAACAAGCTCATTAAAACTGCAAGCAAACTGACATTTCACCCCAACTTCTCCCCTCCTCTCTCCCTCTTTCTCTCTCTTGTTTTACATCATTAAGTGGCAGCGTCAGGCTCAAAGGTAGTCGGGCAAAGACTTTGAGAGAAACGTCTCGCCTGGCATGCCAGCGTTTTGATGAGTGTGTCACTCCCTCACCCCAAACATGCCTCATTAGTAGTTCAGTCGAAACACCTATCTGCACTCCCACTATGTCTTTCTCCTCCTCCTTATTACAAACACACTCACACACATACACCCATACATACATAAACAGTGTCTTTCTCCCTCCGTCTCTCCCTACATTTCCCACTCTGGCCCCCTCCTGTTTTTCAGCACTAATTAGCTGGCTTCTCCCTCTTCTGTGCTTCCCCAGTCACATCTCAAAGGGAGATGGATATGATTTTTCTTTAACCCAAAGGCCAACTTAATCAGCTGAATTAATGACTTTATTACCCGATAGGCTCGAGGCCATGCAACACATTTCACTCCAATGCCCAACACTATGCGCTGGATCTCTTTCACTTCTTATTCTACCCTTAATTTTACCCCTGAAGGTTTTTGTTTTTGTTTGTTTTTCATTTTAAAAATAGAAATGAGGCGTGCAGGGACCAGGTGATGGGCAAAATGGATATTAATGGAAATGGATTAATGATTGCATTGATATGGTGTTACAGGTAAAAGCTAACAAGACTATTTTTGCATGCTGGGTTATGATGTTAAGAAATGTAACATTGTTTTATCATATATATATTATATATAATTGTTATTTATTATTTATATTTATATGACAAATTGTGAGTCGCTTTAGATTGTGTCTGCTAAATGTATTGTAATGTAATATATGTATATATATATATATATATATATATATATATAGACATACACCTTGTACGTAAAGCAGATCTGGTTATGAGCCAAATGGTAAGTTAAGATGCCAAATTCTTGAGACAAACCTAAACAGACTGTGACTAGTGATTCTGTCAGGATAGTCTGTGACTCTTGTTGTCAACAGGAGCTTTTGTTGATTTCAACCGGTGGACATGGAACCTGACTGGACTATGTTTTACCGGCTGCCATTGAGGCATGAGGCAGCTGTTGACCACAGAGTCTTTGGGGACCAATCAAAAACCTACACACTGTTGGGCACTAGAGGTAAGAGTAAGGAAGCCGCCAACGTGCCGAGGGATTGGGTGGTAGCCAGATGATCCACTATGGATAACGGCAAGTCTTAAGGAACAGTTTGGAGTTCTTTGTTTGGAACGGCATGACTGGTAGAGCCAGTCACCCATAATGTGTACAACATGTGGCTTTTTATGTCAGTAATAGCTGTTCTGTAATTTAAATATGTCTGATCAATTAGTACCTGTTGTCTGTCGGAGAGATGGCAAATGGCCGCTTCACACACACACACATACCCACACACACACACCCACTTACACACAAAAGCTTTTTATATATGGCTACAGCGGAGTAATTAGTTGATACACTGGGGTCTGTCAGTAGATGTATTACCACCATTGAAAACAGCAGTGATAAGGAAATGCACCATTAGTCTTCTCATTTACTTGACAAACTCTGACAAAGCCCAAGGCCTATACTTAGGATTGGGTTTGTGTGTTGACAACTAAATAAATAACCTCAACTTGAGAGAGAAGAGTCTGAGAAGAACGAGGAGAAAGCTACGCTCAGCCACACCTGTGCTGGTGAGATCAGACCCAGAGGTTTGAAGCTGGAAACCATCCAGTAAACAAACAAACACAGCAGCCTAATAAATAATGACAGAAAGCAAATGCATGTAAATGCACAGGTACTGTTTGTTTCTTGTTTGGCTTACGTAAATGCATTTTGTGCTCACTGTGGGATTATAATTTTGTTTATTATTTTCTTTTTCTTTTTTTTTCAGGATTAATGTGAAGCTACTGTCCAGAGACCAGGGCCATAAATAAGGAAGTTTGCATAAAACTTGAGATGTTTTATTAAATGTGGTGTTACTGTGCACACACAACATTTTAGTGTGTATCTGTTACTGTATGTAAAATTTTTAAATTAATGTTTTGTTTTTTGTCCTTTATCTGATTTATTATTCTTTTATGTGTGCGAGTTGTCTGTTCAGCATTTTGGTCAACTCAGGATGTTTTCAAAGTGCTTTAGAAAAACTTGCATTATGTAAGAAGAGGAACAAAACTTTAAGAAAGAGCTCTTAGAGTTCCTTAGTGGGAAAGGTTGGGCTTAGCTGGATTTACAAGTTAAGTTTTTAAAGGACTAGAAAGTTTTGACGAAGACAGACTTGGATATTACTTGTTGTTAGCCAGAAAAGTCTAATCTAGCTGTGTTATGAACTAACAACACATTATCTATTGATATCCTGAAGTCAGTTTGTAGATTCTGTAACTAGGTTTATCAGTGATTTATGTTCACATGAGAGAAACAGGATACTGTGTGTGTGCAGTTAGTAGTACTAGTAGTAATACCCAGTCAACCCATCCCTGTGCTCATAATGTTACAGTGACTTTGTTGACAAACAAACTTTCTGGGCCTTTGAATAAGGTGTGATGTCATCTGTCCATATTACAATATAGGCTCACTTTTATCTATAATTTATTCATTTTTTGTAATATTATATATTTGAGCCATTTTCCTATATTTATTGCAGTATTTTGCAAATAATTAACAATTTGAACCATGAACCTTATCTTACCCTTCTATCCTTACTATGTACTTCCTGTTGGTAAAATTGGATTGTTACAATAAATAAGTTACTGATTATTTATGAGCCCACAAATGTTGAAGCATAGTTGTAACACAAGAATGAACAAAAAACTCAGGCTTACTAATGGCTTGAAAAGTTCATTATTCTAAATATTGGAAATAACATTTTAAATAAATAACATCTCCCTCACTCTTTTATTCTCCTTCAATCGTATTTGGCTGCAAGGCACAATAAACAAAGCTGTCACTGTAATGTGTGAGGTATGGCTGTGAGCCACAGTCTATTTTCCCAATCAACACCATTACAACAGTTATTGACAATACTTGTGAAGTGAGGGTGTGTTGTCTGTGGATGGAAGTGAATCATTAGCAGCTCCTGTCTCCTCGAGGCAGGAGGAAGGTTGTGTTCGTGTGAAGGGAAAAATAATGTGTAACCGAGACCTGGAAACACAACGAACACCAGCAGGTCTGTTCTACGTTTAAAGAGTATAAATTCACATCACGTCCTTTTAAAACATTTCATATCAAAATACAAACCGTATATTACAGAACCAGGTGGAACCTAATCAATACATCCTCTGTTCACCACATGGGATTCTAACACACTGTTGGTGAGGAACTTTAATTTGAAAGTCGCACCTGAATGTAGTATAGATGTGAGGTGTGAGTGATATTTTACTCAGAGTTGTTCAAAACCAGCCATAATCCCCTCTTCCTGTTTCTAAAGAGTAGCTCCCGTCCCTGTGGGCCCATTAGTCAATTACACCTGAGCGCTGCTGTTTAATATGAGCTGAAAACATACCTGAGTTCTCTGCATCAAGCACTTCCTCTGCTCTATATTTTTCCTGTCGTATACAGTAATGAGTAAAGGTGTGTGTGTGACATTCAGGAAAAAAGGGAAGAATTATTCATTAGCTCTCTGTTTCAATCTTTCTGCCTCCCTCCTTTCCTCCTTCCCTCCCTCCTTCCTGATCTTCACGTTCGACAACTCTGGGGCAAAGACAGAATTGCAAATTAGCTCCTGGAATTCTAATTAATTGGCCGTCTTCGCAAGCCGAGAGCCAAAGTTTTAGGCTGATGTGTCAATGATTCCCTCCGCAATTACAAACACAGCAGTGCAAAAAGGCACAAGGGGGAGGAGGTTGGGGAGAAAAGGAAGCAAATGCAAAACAGGCCATAAAACAAAACCTGTCCTCTGTGTGTCAATTAATACAGCTCTTCCATCAGAGCCACAACTTTGTCAGCTGACTTCTCCTAAACAGCACAATAACTCACTTGAACAGGCAGCTGTCACTTCCTCGCCTCCTCTGCTGTTCCACAATCAGTCAGCGTCAAATTCCAAGTCGAGTCTCTCCTCTGGGATTACAGAGGCAGAACAATGGGCTGTGGAGTCTCTGGGCCTTCAAACGAGATCAAAATGTTCCTTTTTACCAACTTATAAAATAAATACAATATATGAGAGCCACTATTAACGTTATATTTCAGATATCACAATGCATATGTGAAGGAAGGAGCAGTGAAACTGATAAGGTCACACAGGCAACTTTCTGGCTGCTCAATTAGCAGGTGAATTGGAAACAGGTGTGAGCTCTGGGATACCAGTAAGGAACCAATTAACCATCGTTGTTCAGTTGTTTGGTCTCAGGCCAGAATGGATTGTTTGTGAAACACAAAGGTGGAAGAGAATATTGAAACTTGTGCAACTTTGTTTGACACTTGAATTTACTTTCCACCCTTAATAACTAATAACAAAAAAGATGTAAAAATAAGGATCAAGAAGTATTCATCAGTCATGATTAATATTCACTAACTGACTGTACTGTTTTATGTTGATCAGAATCACATCTGCAGTTACACGAACACAGTAAAGACTAGTATCAAGTCTGTGTGGAAAGATGCTCTAACTGGCTGTAGGTTGTTCAACACAATAAAATAATCATAATGGGGAAACAGTGCCGCCGTTGCTCCCCGGACAGTCTACCAACATTAGTCCTGAGGCGACATCTAGTGTTATTTTTGTGTATTACAAATGTTTGGTAACGTATTCGATGTTAGTCGACACCTGATGTTAAGAGAATACCAACTTTATCTGTGATTTAATTTGTTGGTTAGTATTTTTAGGAAACCCATGTCATTTTAATCTACTGTTAAGTTGGAGTAAGTAGTTTATAAATATATATATAATGAACATTAGTTCTGGAATTGTTTGGGAGTGGGGTGTTATACTCAGCAACACACAGTGACATAAAAATATAAAACATTTATTTTCCAAAACTACATACATAAATACAAATCTGTGTTTAAAAGTCTACAAAAATAATACATTCATTTTGTAAAAAATAGTCTGCGCACCAAAGTTAAAATAAGTTTCATCAAAGATTGAACTGTGTTATAACAGATCATTGACCCGACGTCCGTTCATAGTGGAAACAGTCTTTTAGCTCAGAGCACGGAGCGATATTTACAGGCCAACATCAGCCAAACTGCACAGGCGTTTTCTGGATACACAAACACACGGACACGGACGGCCAGCCTCACACTGTCACCGCGGCAGCCGACAATTTCCTGACAAAATGAAGACCTGAACAAAAGAAGAGAGATGTTTAATAAGAGGCACCACATTAATCTTAAGAGATTTTAGATAGATAACTAATTATTGAAATCAAAATAAATGTTAATATTTTAGAAAATGCTTTATTTGCTTGCTGCAAACAGCCTGAAATGTAGTATATCTGTCTATTGTCTTTTCATGTTACATGTGGATCTCACCTGAGGCAGGTGGCAAACGCTCTGCGGGCGTTGCGGTGAAGGAAAAGTATGGGGAAACCTTTGAAAGTGTGGCCGTCTGCCATCGCCCTCCTCAGAGCGTCCTGAAACTCCTCACTACCACAGGAGACACCAGTGCATCTCTCCAGCTCATAGGTTGACAACGCTGAGGACAGCAGGTAGGACAGATGGTCGTCCCACACTGTGGCCAGTTCATGGTCCTGAGGGAGAGGGGGGGGGGCCCACAGCCACACACTTTATATGCCATTCTTACACAAGAAGTTACTGATGAGCAGCTGTTTTACCTTTCTGTGCTCAGAAATCAGGAAACGCATCTCCAACTCCAGGTGGTTGCTGGCAGCAGCAGCATCCAGAGATGGGGCACAGAGAGGAGGCACAGGGGGCAAAGAGGTGGTGGAGCCTGGGGCACAGACGGACTTCAGAGCCTCTTCACTCATCGCTTTCCATCGAGATGGATTCTGAACAGAGAGAATGGCATTTATTATTTATTCCACAGATTTCCTGACCATATATATTCACAAAACGTCCACCTGAAAGTCAAAGACACAACGTTCCACAGCATCAGACGGCTGACAGTTGGCCAAGAAGGTCTGGTGGTTAAAAACGCAGCCCACAGTCCTGTAAGGGGACGATGGATTAGGTTGGGGGGACAAAGGCGGCGCATCTGGATCTATGGTCTGATGAAGGTATCTGAGCACAAACACAAAGGGAGAGAGAAATTCAGCCACTGTACAAGACAACAAAGCTCTTGGCCTGTTTAAAATTTTAAATATTCAGCACATTTTTCATAGAAATCCAGTCTGAGAGTGGGTTGAAAATCAACGTTTTTCTGTTCTGTAGAATTAGAGAGAGGAGATCTCTGTGCTGTGAAGGCTAAGCTAAAAGAAATTCACTCAGACTTTGAAAAAGTAGCAATATTCTGAAACAAGTAATAATAAGGCACATTTCAAGGGCACATTGCCATTTGAAGTTTAATGAGGTTGAGGAAAACACAGTGGGTTCAATTATGACTCAAGTTTTCAACTCTTGAGAAAAGAATGATTCACATCTGTGATTTGGGACTTTCCATTTCTTCTCCATTGTAAGCTACGAACATCATCTTTAACAAGTCAGTGAAAGGCCACAGCAGATGACTCAGGTTGTGGACCAAAAGACTTTGTGAAGTTTGTAGCACGTTGTTCTGTAAGAATAAAAATAGACCTGTGTGCAGTCATGCTCTCCCAAAACGTGATGATTCCATCATAACCGCGGGTCAGAACCCAGGTGTGTGGCACTGCCTTAGCTTTGGTGCCGACACACACGTATGCGTCCAGACCAAAGCCCAGCAGGAGGCTGCACAGCAGGGTGGCGTGGTCTTCACAGTCCCCCTGGAGGACAGACAGAGGAGTGAAAGTGTAAAACTACACCTGTAAAAACATGTTTCTTGAGGTATGAAGGATTCTCTCATTCTCCTGTTTATACCACTGACAGCTGCACCACAAATTACTCTTTGATCACAGGGCGCAGATCTGCTACAAAAATTTTAAAAATAACTTTTTTTTTCTCTATCTCTTTATAGATATATATAAATATGTAAATGTATACACCTTTACAATAGTATTCTTTTTACCACATCAAGATGTTATGTTTTTCATTAATACTGCAAAGTGATCCAATTCATTTTATGAACTCCACTGTCTAAAAACCATTCCAAAACATCTCAAGTAAAAGAAGAAAAAAATGGAAAAAAACTAAACCACATTTTCATATACTATCTCCATAACAGTGGCTGTGGTACAGGCTCAGGATTCTGCTTCCTATGTTTTCCCATTTGGCTCCGCTGGAGAACTGACAAAGTAAATAAAATTTGTCTTAATAATATTTTTAAATAAAATAAAAGAATGTTCTAAAGACAAATTCATTTTTGCCCTTGTCACGACACCCATTTCAACGTCGGTGAATTCAACGTTTTTATTCATTTTCACAAATTTACAGCCGTCCTCACTGCTGCTCACCTAATTCATCATGTCACTGCAACAGACTGAGCCCAGGACAATATCCTGTTCTCACAGCTCTGCTGTTCTTTCACAGAAATGTTGAACACAGGGAGAGTTTGCAGGAGAGGAAATACACACTGTAGTTATCAAATCGTCTGTGACAGTGCTCAACATTTGTTTGACTTTCCTGCCAAAGAGGCGCTGAGTTTGAGTGAGGGGCTGATGCTGTGATGTGCTGGCTTGAGCTACAGGCAGAGTCAGAATGATAGATGTTCCCCAGAAGTGCTAATATGAACGGCAGCATAAGAACAGGCTGGGGACTGATGAGGCTAAATTAATTTTCCCTGGAATGAAACTCATAAATCACCGCTGACAAGGGCCACTTTGTTAGAGTTGTGTTTTGTCTGTGCTGCCAGCAGAGAGAGAGGGAGGGAGGCAGAAAACATTTATCCTGTGGTGCTGTGGGAAATTCCATGCTATCTCGCGGATAGATGAAAATGTAACTGGAGGATTTGTTAGCGTGTACTGATCCTCTTTTCTCAGAAATGACACAATCAGCTGTACTAGGAACTGGAGCAAATGCAAAACCAAGATGATGTGATTTGTTGAGGCACAACTTTCCTTTTCAAAGCAACAAAAACATGAAACCTGTTTTGACCTGCACTCCAGTCCTACACAAGAAAGAACAGGTTTGTAAATGGGAACAAGACTAAAAGCAAAATGAGGACCAATCATCGGGATTTTTTTTAATTATCACGTCTGCAAATGTACGAGTTCATGTTGCTTTCTCTACAAATTATTTCTTCACAACACCATAAAGAATCTAGGTGAGACATGAACATTCTTGAGATGCCCCAGAGTCCACTTGGGGGGAAATTGCGGTGGGGGGGTGTTGATCTGATCAACAAGTGTGAAACAGATTTAAACCTATTAATAAAGGATCAATGTGAGGTACCAAAGGCATTGTCTCACTACCATAGTAAAGCGCAGATCACAGTGAAATGGTCATTATGGAATCATAACCTCCTTAAGCCTCCTGTCACGCTCCCATTTGAACCAACATGACAGTGCATATGGTAACTGCTGTGACACAGCACAACAGTAACTTATTCCCAGAAGATAATAACTTAATTTCCTTCTTTTTTTGTCTTTGATCACAACAGTAGATAGTCCACACGGAGAAGCAGAGCTGAGACAGTATCTGATGATACTTGATACTTCCTGAACTCATGTACAGAACCTTGTGTTGTGTAACTGTCCAACTTGTACAAGCTGGCAAACTCAAAGTTAGAAGCCATAATCTCCAAATATCACCATGAAAACACACATGCTGCCAGTTCTTGTGAATTTGAGTAAATGTAGTCAGGGTTCAGACGCCATGAACGAAAAAAAAACATGTCATTAATAAGCCTGATCTTATAAAAAACCAAACTACATTCTAAAATCTATGAGATGTATTTTTATTGTGTAAAAGGATGAATAAATTGACAATAGATTTGCGATGAGTTCATAGACTATGCCAGTCATTAAGTTTTGGTTTTCGTCTCAGGTCTAAGACAACACATTCACACTTACCTTCCCTCTGCACAGGAAGGCCAGTAATGTGCACCACTGCTCCTGCTTGCCTCCTCCTCCCACCACCGGAGCCTTCTCCTGGGCCATCAAGCTGACGAAACGTGCCGCCTGCCTAGGGCTCTCTAGCAGGCGGCCCGCACGGAGGACACGGACATAAGAACACACGGGTCTGTTGACGCCATTCTCATCCTGGAGAGTAAACAGACACAAAAAGGAAGGCATAAAAAAACTCGTAAATTTGGGGTTTCACCCCAGAGAGTACTGTTTTAATATGTCTAAAAGACAAATATGATCTGAAAAAAAAACAGAAGAAAAAACTTTTTAAAAAAGTATGTTTAATTTTGAATCATTTTTAATCTTCTGGCTACAGTAACTATATATACAGTAACTATATATACAGTAACTATATTACAGTTGAAATAAAATGCTCTCATCAACAGGTAAAGAACTACACAACAAGAATGTGTAGGTTCCTTACATTTAGGCACAGAAATGTAATGAAAATGAATGAATTTAGTTTGATTTAAACAAACCTGTGCAAATATCTTGACCATTTTTGACTGGTGTGACGGTCGGATCTCCAGAAACTCTCTCCACCACTGTTTGGCATAAACTAAGAATAGTCTCTCCTTCTCTGCAGTCCTGTTCCTCTCGAGTGATTGCTGGGTGAGAAACACACAATAAGACACTGTACACTACTGAATAAAGAGCATTTGTGGATCTTAATCAATGGTGTGTATGTCTTCACTCAGCAGTGTGATTCATAGTCATCAATAGCTTTTAGTTAGGATGAGATGGTATCCTGCAAAAGCAGAGTGTATGGACAGACAGAGAGCAGGGTTGAAGAGATTCCCTGTGTGCCAACCTGTGTGCTGACAACGTCAGGGCTCAGAGTCTCAGTGAGAGGCGGACACAGCTCCAGACTGACCGTCAGGACACCAGCTGGTACTTTGCATTCACTTCCTGGTACAAAGAAATATAAACAAAATATCATACTGCAGTAACCCCTCCATATAAGTGAGACAATGAACATACAAAACTACAGATATCCCACCTTAAACTATGTATACACCACATGTAAGAACTAGAGGAAGACACCCTTTCTGAAGGCTGTGGTTTAAAGATGAAGCATCAAAGATCAAGTGTTTAACTGGATTTGAAAATGTCTTTTACAGACAATATATCTCATTTTGGAATATAAGCAATATTATGATGACCCTGTGTTCACTGTTGGGATTTTTGCAAATAATTTTCTTTAGAATATAATATGAGTTGAGTTAACTTTAAGTTAAAATAATGAATTAAAGGCCAAAATGAATTTGAGACAACAACACCAGAGACTTACAGTATGGTTGTTCATTAGGAGCCTGGCCACTGTGACAATTAATAATAACGGAGCATGAAAATACTCAGTGTAAACATGAAGTGTATTTTGCTCACCAACTCCCATTAGTTCTATGGCAAAGCAGGTCTTCCCACTCGGCGAGCTGAGGACTGTCCTCCAGTCCAAGAAATAAGAAGAAACCAGCGTTGTCTCACTGGACCTGTCTGTCTTGATTAGCACCAAATGAACTGTGTCACACATTGACAGCAATGTGGTTGCATCTGCCATTTTATTGCCCTCTCCTGCAGGGGTCAAAAGGAGAGAATTTTTAAGTCCATAGTCTGACTTTAAAACTACAAATAACAAATAAAAATAGTAACAATTAAGTAGAAAATATATAGTGAATAAATTAAAACAGCTTATGACAAAGAAATATGACTGATATCAAGATGCTTTAGACCTACCTACACCATCTCTGTGGAGCTCCAACAGGAAGCCCTCTTCCAGGCTGGGTTCACAGGCACAAGGCACAGGCTTAGAACGAAACCTCTGGTTACGAAAGTGCAAGTAGAGAGTGAATGTGGAGCAAACCTGACCAGGTAAGTGCTCTGGTTCTTGAAGATGCTCCAGGAAAGCTTTGCCTCCAAGTACTTTCAGACACAGGTAACGCCTTGAAGGGTTAATATTGGCTGGAAGAACAGAAAAAATATGTTATTACTAAGCTGTACTGTCTAATTGTTGCAGACACAATTGAAATGGTTGGGTTTGTTGCTCTTCGGGAGTGGATGTTAAAGAAAAAACAAACAAATTTGAATTGAACGACTGTCCACATTACTCTCCATGAATTTTTGTGCTATATATCTATTGTTTTAATATTGTAAGGTTACACTTTGTCATTTCATCCAGAAAGAATTAAGGGGTCACGTTAAAACGTTACTCTGTTGTTTGATTCAATAGTGTTTCTTACATTTTTTCAGATGAGTGATTTCCTTTTCAGCAAAGTGAGTGTCAGGCTTTGCAGCAGGCTCAAGTTTCCCATTTGTCTGTGGTTCCTATCCGAGTAGAAAATAACAACATATAAGGAAGATTATTTGCATCGAAGTAAAAATACTTGAAATACTAATTAACATATTTTTACCATTCAGCCATACAAACTTAATTGAGTTTTAAATAAGCTCAATTAAGAAACTAATAGAGCTGCAGTAATCATCTGCTAAGCCTTTGAAGACTGACATTATTAGACATGAACAGCAGATGATGTTTGGAAATTAAGGTTTGTAAATCCGATCTAAACTAGTTGTTACTAATGATGAGTGATCCACGTGCAGATCTGTTTACAGCAGGAGCAATTGCTGTACACGTTTTACATCTTATTTCACATCAATGTTCTAGCTTCAGTGCATAAAAAGTTGCTAAATCTGTTTGCATAACAGTTGGTCTACCTGGGGAAAGGAAAGGTCCTTCATTACATCGTCTATAATGCCCCTGCTCTGTAGAGCACGAAGGAAATCAGCCTCAGACACAGACTGACTTGCTGATCGTTGACCATCCCGCACAGTATCTGCCAGCACCTCTCTGATCTTCCCATGGATGTCCATCTGATTGCCAGAAAAAAACAACTCATCACCAATTCTTACAGTACTCTATAATATCTCATTGAAAATTAGAAGCAGGGATTGGGTTCCAGAAAATCGTGTGGTCTACAGATCTAGTGAAGTGTAAGATGCATGCACTGCTATTATAAGCTATTGTAGGGATTTTTTCCTAGACTGTTAAGCATATTTTTTTATTAGTGTCTGTGCAGAAACAGTATATAGTTGACTCACCCTGAGCAGGTGGTTGTGAATTAGCTTCTTTAGCTCTGAAGCTTTTTCTGGAGGCAGAGACATGATGAAATTATCTTATTGTTAGCTTTAACGCTAGGGAGCTACGCGCTTTAGTAGCTGTGTGCTTTCCAGAATAAAACTCTGCAGTCTGAAGGAGAAAACAGCCAATTGTACACAAATGTGTCGTCTGTGGAAAAGTCAACCATACCGTCTTGATGCTAAAACCTATGATAACAACCACCCATGACAACAACAACAACAACAACCGCCTGACAGTTTCAAATGTGGCGGAAATTCTAGAGAGCGTTCTGTTTTCTTCTCTACATTTTTGAAGGTGCTTAACTTAGGTGAAACACTGCCACCTAATGCAGCGGAGGCATACCTGTAGTGTATAAGGATAAAATACGTAATGACAGAATTGTTAGTACTACGCTATTGCATTATTGTAGTATCTTATTTATAGTTAAAAGTTACTTATTAATTAAAATAATAATCCATTATTTAATTTTATTTATAAATTAATGTCTCAGCCGTTAGTGTTATATTTATATGAAACAATAATGTTACACCAGCACACAGCTCATCGAACATTAAAATTGCTCTCACGGTAGCAAATGCAAGATTAATGGTGACAAGTGAGAAACTCTGCCATCTTTTTTCCTTGTGCAGTAATGTGCACAAGAAAAATACAAAAAAAACCTTGGGTTTGACTTATTGACCTTAAATCTGATGTTTGTATGTTCAACAGGTTTACAGAAACTGTACAATAGTAGATTAGAAAAATGTTGGTTTGCTCAGTTTCAAGCATTTCCCAAGCTTTATAACCACAGAAAATAACATTAAACCAGTCAGTTTAACACGAGTTCAGTGTAAGTTAATTGTCGTCGCAGTAACTAAATTTCAGTTAAATTGAACAACTGAAGAATATTGCGGACAGTGACGTTTGTCTGGATCTAAATAATCTAACTGTGTGAGATTCTATAAAGTAAATGTGGAAGTCAAAAATGATTTATCAAGGATCTTCTTAATCTTAATCTAATATTAAGCTTTTCCTAGAAGAATTAAGGCAAGGAAGATCAACCCAGAACAATGAGATTTCTCCAAGAGCTGAATTTATTTACCAAGTAAATTTATTAAAGTAAATTATTTAAAAAAAAGAATCTGGAAATGTGTCATTAATACCCCTGACACCTCTTTAAATAAAAAAAAACATTTACATCATGATAAAGGTGGCGCTTTGGCCCAGAGGCAAGGTCTCTGTCATTGGTGTGGAACCGCAGGGTTCACCTCCTGGGCAAGATCGAATCCTGGTAGGATGGTTGGTACCTTCCAGTGGACTCACCACTCACAGGAAGGTTCAGGGGGGTTGGTACGGTGGAGTGTGATTTGGGTGGCGGTCATAGAGACTACTGCCCCCGCGACCCGGTAACGGATAAGAGGATTAAAATGGATGGATGGATGGATGATGATAAAGCTACACCTGTTCGTGGAAAGATAGATAGCATAAGGTACAGCACTTTCTCCTCCACACTTACAGCTCCTTCCTACAGAATAGAGAAAATTAATAAGGGCAGTCATCAATAGCAGCAAGGCCTCTTCTTGAAAAAGTGAATCAATTCCTGGAATCCACAGTGAGACCTCCAGTCTGACTACATTGATTTAGCTCATGCTCAGAATGTAATTATGAAAGGATGAGGGACCAGTGGGTGGATGTTATAAAGCTGCTTCATACCAACATAAAAAACAGACAGGCAAAGGATTTGGTTAGAAAAAAATGAATGTTTTATTCCATTCTGTATTTTCATAATTGTTGGTCTTTTTTTCTCCACAACGCCATCTGTTTCTTGCTGCAGCAAAGCAATACAAAACTCCCCTAAAATATTATGTGGAAACAGAAGAATAAATGGAATTATATAATCAACCTGCTCAAGGTTAAATGAACACAGAGTTGAAGCAACACATAACGAGCCAATCATCAACGTCATTATGTCATCTCAGGAGTCAGTACTAGCTATTGTCCAGTTCTTTCAACACTATCAATAAATAGTTGTTTTTTATGCCGTGTGCTCAAACATCAGCTTCCAATTGAACATTTCTGTACTGATTAAACAAGGACACGTTCAACAACACATTTTTCTATTTTACTAACTTCAAGGCACATTAAAGCTTACTCCAACTAGCGAAGGAACAGGGAGAGATGTTTGCTGTTTAGAATTAAAATCTGCTTCAACTGATAGAGCACACTTTGGTCCCAGTTAAACGAAAACTAATTTGGTGATGGTTGGGGGCTCAAAATTAGGTCACACACAAGATAAACTGTGGGCTGACTCATCTCATCTTGCACTGCAGACATCAGTGAGGCCAAAGATCCAACAAAATACAAACTCCACACAATGAAGGTACAAATCGACAGCTTGCCTGGCTGGTATTTTGATTTAAAAACAAAATGATTAGCTTTGCTTTGGTTTCCTGAAGTGGGATAAGATGAACACACAAGAACCCATCCAGTGGGTGAATGCACACGTTAGTATTGGAACAGCTATTATGATCCACATGAAAACAAAAATCTATGCAAAATGAAAGTGCTCCTTTAAGAGAACGGAAAAAGGTTAAACAT